TGTAGGCCTTTCTTTTTAGCCTCAGGGGGTCTGCTGGGGCCCTGGAGAGCCAGGGGGGCTGCTGTGCCCTCTTGCTGCCTTTCCTCCAAGATGAAATAGACTTAGTTTGTGATAGATTAAGCTATCTGTTGATTAGCTCCAAACAGCCTGTCTGCCTGTTGTCTCCCACTTGAACCATAGCCCACATGTGATATGCTAGCTAATACTGAGGTGTCTGTGTAAGGCAAAGGGGAGGGGGGGAAAATAATCCCTGCTTAGCAGGGAAAAGCCAAGCAAACGCCTCACCCAACCCAAAGAGCATGCCAGGATGCTGGGGGAGTCCGATTTAATTTAAACCAGCAAGGGTTCTGGGATAGACAACTGGTTTGAGCCAAATCAGTGAAATCTGATACTACATTCAACCAGGTTTATCTTAAACCAGGTTTGGCCATTTTCAAACTGGTTTATGTGCACTGAACATCTGTCCTGTTACAGGTTTAAACCAGTTTGAGGTCACTTAAACCAGTTTATGTATAATATCTGTCCCTAACCCTACTGTCCAGATGGGCCCAGCTCGTGGCACAGCAGCTCTTTTCATCTTGGAGCTCCCCTTGTGCTCCCCTGCCACTAATAGAAAGAGGGGTCCCATCAGCCCTGCTACTCTCTCCTGATGGCCATGAGACAAAAACCACAATTTTAAATGTCATAGTTTTTGCCTCCCATCCAGTGAGCAGCAAGCAGTGAGAACATGGCATATTTAAAACCATGGTTTTCACCTCCTGGCAATCAGGAGCAAGAAGCGGGGCAGCACACAGGGGAAACTCTGAGATGAAAGGAGCTGCTGTGCCTTGAGCTGGGCCTGCGATTTAAACCAGGCTTTAGTCATGACTACTAGACACCAGGGTATTCTAGTGCTGGAGGTTCTCAGATCTCTCCTACTAACACAGGTTTTCCCTGAAGTCAGCAGAGTAGAGAGACAGCAAGAGTGAAAACACTTCTCAAGCCTGTGAGTTGCAGAATGTGTGACCCCAGGCCAAATTTTAAAGATTTTACATATTAGGCATTTATGTGGAATTACAGACTTAAACACGATTCTATTATGCCTTGCTCAAGTCCTGAAAAATCTATTCATTCATCTGTTTTGAAACAAACTGTCATCTGACCCTCAAGACGAAATCACAAAAAACAAGGAGGGGACCCACCCCCAACTGGTGCCTCCCAACTCTGGGGGGGCATCAGCAGCTGATTGCTGAATTGGGCGGGGGGGGGGGGGAAGCAGCAGCCAATTGCCAACCCCAAAAGCACCAACAGCAAAACAGGAAGTGCTGCCAGAGCTTCTTGGGGAGGCACCAGCTGGCATTCCCCACGCCGCAACCAGCGAGGGCCAATATCGGGGGGGGGGAATGCATTGCCTATGCACCCACCTTTGGATGAACAGTTCTTTTTTTCCAAGGGTTTGAGCAGGGTGGAACATAATTTATACTTAGGCACCTCAGTCCACTTACACAGCTAAATTGGTGGAACAGAATCTGGCCTCAGGTTTTTAACACTTGTACATGTAATGAAGCATTCCATGGAATGAGATTAAAAGTTTTTGAGAGAGACTTAAAGCATCCAGTCCAAAACTCCTATAAAACGGTGGGTTAGTCTCTCTCTCTCCCAGAAATGAAATTCCAGTGCACTCAGAGAACAGAGAATTGAGCCTCTGCCCCCCAGAGCCTGGTGAGTGCTCAACACTGAGCTATTAAGTAAGGGAAACACTCCCTGCAGGAATTGTGCAACTCTAGCCATGGGAAAAAAATACACACACACTTGCCCAGTTTGGAAAAGATTTAATTTAGCTAGCTCTAAAACTAACAGAGAGAACATTTAGACTGAACTCTTGCAGGCAACACTGCCTTAAAATTCTTACAAAACTATTTAAAGAGATGCAGCTAGTCTTGTTGGTCTGAAACCAGGAAGAGTGACAGCTTATAGAGTACCTAAATCAGAGAGGCATAAGCTTTTGTAAGCAACAGCATAAAGTATCTGACAAAGCGACCTGTTGCTTATGAAAGTTTATGCCTCTTCAAATTAGTCCTTAAAGTATCACTCTGCCTTCTTCCTATTTAAGTTGGGGTGTACAACTGTAATATTGTTGTGGGTCACTTGCACAGTACACTTTCCCATGGAGGGCCATAACTAATGAGGAAACATACAGTGCAAGTGGGAAATATGACCGCATATGCAGCCATATGGACAGATTAACAGCTTCCCAGCAGGGATGCAATTTGCAGCAAAACATAAATTTGACTCATTACCAGGGATCCTGGTTTTCTGTTTAAAAATCACAAATATTCTGATTAAAGTGAAATGCCACTATATACATAGGTATCAGTTGAACACAATGTTTTATTGCTTTAATATTGTAAATATATCAATTTGGAAGCCTTCTAGTGCCTCAATCACTATAAGAAAATAAATTCTGAATAACTATAAATATTGGTGTTTGATTTGGGGGGTTTTTTCTCATGGAAAAAAAATTAGAGCTCCCCCTACCCCCTTCACTCACCAGGACACAGGTCCAGCTGTGGCTGTCCTCCCCCCCACTGCTTTGTGGTGCTGAGCAGCCCTGCCAGTGCCCTGCCTATGCCATTGCCCCTCACTTCTGATCAACAGCCCCTGGGCCCTGCTGGTGCCCCCACCCCCTCCAACCCGGTCAGAGGGGGCCCTCAGCTGCCAAGGCTATGAGGCCAGGGACCCAGTTGCACAGCCCCTGCCCCCCACAACATTGCCCAAGTCCCGGCTGCCACCTGTGGGAGGCAGCAGCTGCTGTGATGGAACGGAGTACAGAGCCCAGCTCCCCCTACCCCATGGGCATCACAGCCAGAGTGAAGTAAGTGGAGGGGGGGGCAGGTGCAGGATGCCCACTGCAGGCTCAGGTCGGGGAGGCCAGCTCCCTGCCACTGTGCGCACTTCCAGGGTGGGGCAGGGGGACATGTGACCCCTCCCCCCCTTTTGTGCATGGGGCCAGTGTGGGCTCAGGGCTCTTCACCCTGCTGCCCTCCCCACAGGGCCTCCACAGCCCAGTGGGCAGGATCTGGCATAGCAAGGCAGAGCAGAGCTACGTGCCATTGCCGTGAGTCCCAGGCCACCATGACGAGGTGCCCTCCACACCACCATCCCTGCTGCTGCTGGGCAGGCAGGAGGCACCTCGCCATGGTGGCTCGGGGCTTCTTGCAACATCAAGCTTCCCCCATCCCACTCTGCCCTGCCACACTGAGTCCTGCCTGCTGGGCCACAAAGAGCCAAGGGGGAGAGTAGCAGGGCAGGGAGCCCTGAGCCTGCAGCAGGCAGCACACCCCCACCCCACACAAATCTGGGGGGGCATATGCTCCCCATTCCCTTCCAGCAGTGTACACAGAGGCAGGGAGCCAGCTCCTCCCCCCGCCCCCCGCAAATGAGCTGCCCATAGCTCCATCCCATTCCCCACTCAAACCCTGTACCTACACATGGCACTGGGCCCCATGCACGACCCCAGTTAGGCAGTAGCCCCAGCCCCAGCTGTGCCCAACTCCCTCCCTCCATGTGGGCCTCAGTTCCCCCCTGTCCCACCCCACACCAGACTTACTTGTGGGAGCTGCTCTCCAGGCTGCCTGGCAGCCAGGTGCATGTGTAAGTGCACACATGCACATGGTGCCCCCTGGCTGACCAGCCTCCTGCTCCCCTGAACCCTTCTGGAACTCTGCCATCCTGCAACAGATGAAAGGTGAAAAATCTAGGTTTTACCACATTTTACCGTGGTGAATGAAAAACCAGATCCCTGCTCATTACTTTGGGTTTTGATGCTTCTGCAACAGCAATGAATAAGGTACTTAAAGTAATAGCAGGTCATTGCAACTGCTCTGGTAGGCTGGAAATTGGGTTCAAGTTAAATGTTGGAATATGGATTCTTTCTTGCCTATCATACAGCTTGTTTTATAGCTACAACATGGATATCTTCATGTCTTTAAAGGTAGGAATGCCATCCCATAAAGAACCCATACTCAACCCCTCAAATCCACATAAAAACACAAGTTATATTCTTTAAAAACTTGAAATTTCCACCAACTTCCTTTTTTCAAGTCCACTCACAATAGAGGAAGCTATAGAAACGCCTATTACTTTTGTGCCTCTTGACAGTTCTAAATGGCAATGGCTTTATTTATATTTGATGAAATTTGAAGAATTATATTTACTTGAATCAACGACTACACAGAATTTAAGGCAATCCCCCAATAATCAGATTTGATATTTGGAAAATGTACAAGTTTGTTATATCTTCCAGGCATAGAATCTAATTATTGGAAGGTTGCCTACAGCAGGTAAAACAGCAGCTGATGGGGAGAAGAAAGGAGAGGATGTCAGGGAGCCTCCCTGCCCATTAACCCCTTCTCCCTGCAGCCTTCCTGCCCCCCACCTGCACCCCCATGTTCCCAGTATCTACCCCTTCCTCTCCCCCCACTCCTCACAATTTCTACCCCTTTTCCTCTCCCACCTCTTACTGTCAAACACTGCTTGTACTCTACTCCCTGACGGGTCCCAGAGCACAACACACAAGCACAGCCTTTGCAGAGCCATGTAACAGCATCAGGACTGCCGATAGGCTGAGCAGGGGATGGAGGGAAAGAATCCAGCCTCAGCCAGAACCAAGCTGCACCTGACAGTAAGGGTGGTGGAAGGGGAAGAAGCTGCAGAGCACAAGCAGAGGGAGGGCAGAAGGCTGCTGTGGGTTTGACTCTGGCCTCTACCCAGGCTCAAGGCCAGAGTCAGAGCCTTAGTAGCCTCCTGGCCTTACCCCCAACACCCCATTTTGTACATGAATCTAAGATGAGAGGCTTCCCCATGCTGACTGGGGGGGCCAGGAATCACCTTAGATTTAAGTAAATAAGGTAATTTGTTTGCTTTATAAATGCATTAAAGGGCATCTAAGCAGCCTTATTTTCAGACCATCTTAAAAACTTCCTTAATTGATTTTTAGTCTCCAAAAGGCTTCAATACTGGTTGCTGATGCAGCTGCAGAGGATCCAGAGGGGAAGCCCCCAGATCTCTCTCTGCTAGCCGGACAGGGAGTCGCGCTCCTGAGCCATACGTGCGAACAGAGCATGCAAACAGGCACGCTCTGTAAGGGTGCGCCAGCGTTCGTGCAGGTGGGGCAGAGAGAGAGTCTTCCTCAGGAGGGAGGAGGCTCCACCAATAAGGAGAGAGGTAAGGACTATCTGTGAGCCATGGTGAGGACTCGTAGTGCTGCCAGGGGTCCTGCCCCAGTGGTGCCGCCCTTCCGGGGCTCCTCTGAGGCTGCCACCCAAACAGACCCCTTGTGGGGCCTGGTGACCACCTGCCCCAATCTGTGGGGGCAGCTGGGTGGGGTCCCTGGGGGTGGGGTTGAGGGCTGGTGACTCCCCTGCCTGCCCCTCTTGTGAGCATCCGCAGGCTCCGGAGGGGCAGGTGGCAGAGCTCCAGGCCAAGGCGAGCACCTTGCGGGGGATCCAGGTGGCGGAGGATGAAATTGATTCATATTTCCGTTCTCTCCAGTGGATTCCTGGCCCTGCAGAGACCCCGCGTGCAAAACGTCCAACTAATCGGTGGCAGCTGGTTCCTGTCAAGGCCAGGGCAGCTCATACAACTGCTGTGCCTGCTCCCCAGACACCTTACTACAAGGCCTTGGGACACCAACTCAAGAAGATAGGAGCTCAGGTGGTATTTTCCTCCATTCTCCCAGTAAGTGGACGGGGTAGGCGTCATGAGGCCTGCTTTGATGTAGTTAACTGGCAGCTCCAGAGCTGGTGCCATGAGGTGGGCTTTGAGTTTTTTGATAACGACCCATATTTCTGTATGGAGGGCATGCTAGGGTGGGATGGGCTTCATTTCTCCACTAAGGGTAAGCGTATTTTTTCTTCTAGGTTGCCTGATCGCGTACGGTGGGCTTTAAACTAGCTTTGCCAGGAGAAGGGGCCACTCCAAGAGGATGCTTCGCTAGCATGCAGGGTGACAAGAGAAAGGGACACCCAGGTAAGCAACAACGTCCTGGCAGTAGGGGGCCACAACAGCCCCGGGAGTAGGGGGGGAGGCACGTGCACCCTCAGGAGGCCTCAAGTGCTTCTACACCAATGCTCATAGTATGAGGAGCAAGCAGGAGGAACTGTGCCTCCTGATTGCGAGTAAGAATCCAGACCTAGTAGGGTTCACAGAAACCTGGTGGGAGCCTACCCACGACTGGGCGGTGGGCATTCGGGGATATACCCTATATAGGAGGGACAGGACAGAGCGGAAAGGTGGGGGGGGTCGCGCTCTATATCAAAGAGCAACTCACATCATCAAGGATTAGCTTCGGGTTAGACGAGGGTCGGGTGGAGATGCTGTGGGTCAAACTACAAGTAGAGCACGGTGAAAGGGACCTTATGGTGGGGGTCTACTACAGACCACCCAACCAGGAGGAAGAGCTGGACTGGGACTTTTCTGGTCAGCTTATGGAGGCAGTTAGGTCAAGGGATGTCATTGTCATGGGTGACCTAAACTACCCAGACATTTGCAGGGAGGAGCAGACAGCCAGATCTGGCCGTTCGCATAGGTTCCTGGCTTTATTACGGGAGTGTCACCTTATCGAGTAGGTGCACAGCCCCACTATGGGTAACGCTTTGCTGGACCTGGCCCTGGCCATGGGGGATGACCTGGTGAGGGGACTGCAGGTCCTTGACCACCTGGACAATAGCGATCATCACCTGCTGGAATTCACTAGCCAGCACAGGTTGTCAAGGGCTTATAGCAAGACTAAAGCCCTTGACTTCAGAAGGGCCAACTTCAATGAACTTTGGAGACCAGTGAGGGAGGCACTGAGGGCCCAGAAGGTAGAGGAGATGGGAGTCCATGAGGGATGGTTGTACCTTACGGGGGCAATCCTCCAGGCGCAAAGCGTAACAGTCCCTGAGAGAAGCAAGGCGGGTAAGAGTGCTCAGAAACCCCCTTGGCTCAGCAAGGGCA